ATATAGGTTATATTTCTATTTAAACTTTAAATTTAATGCAGTCTTGCATGTTCAAGAAGCACTGACCAATGAGTCATTTCTGAGAGATAAAAAAGACTGATTTGGGTATATTATTAGATGAGGGTTTTAAAAGAGTGTGCTTTTTTCCCCTAAAGAATTTGTTCTCATTTGAAAATGCCTACTCAGGACTCAGTAAATTGGGTCACATAAATTCTGCAGCCCCCACCCATTGAGATTGGCTTATAAGTTATTTTAACTGTTTTAAATGATATCAAAGGAATCCTGGACAGCTGGCTGAGGCTACTGGCATCAAAAATACCATTAACTCTCCTTGCTCATCCTCCACACACAATTGCCCATTTATCCCGTTCTCTCCCATTAAGCCTGCACGTGTGCCCAGCAGAAGACAACACTATGCTCATCTTTGTACTTCGTTACTTTTCAGCTCCCTTAAATTGGTAAGTCCTGGTCTGAAACATATCTAGTTCCCAAACAATTATGGAAAACACTATCCCTTATGCAGAAAAATATACCCAGTCCCTTGCAAAATGTCAAATCTAATTAAAACCTTAGAAAGATTTCACTGCTATGCAGAGCCTTAAGAGGGGTGGATTCCACATTTAGAGCATCCTCCGGACAAATAAATCAATTCAAAACATTCTGTGTCATACTCTTACTGTGTATAGTCAAATGGGCTGGGAGAAAAGAAGAAAAATAGTACAAATAATGACCTGATATGTAGCTCTCCCACTCCCATGTCAGATTTATGGGACCCATATTTAGAAGGGTGAGAATGCGAGTCCATACCATGCAGCACTCCCCTGGTCAGAGGCTTGTGGGCTGAATGATAAACTCTTCAGTGCCAGCTTCGAACAACCTCCTGGCACCAAAGTCAATTAATTCTGAAGTGGCTTTTAAAAGGAAAACAAACTAGATGCCATGAAAATAAACCAGAATGATTTAAGCTGGAGTATCAGACTTGATACAACTGTGAGTGGAAGAGCATATTCAATTCCAAAAAGAAAGCATCTGGCAGTGTACCAAGGTAACAGCTCTACTATCTGCACAGAGCACATCTGACACAGCCAACCAAGAAGGGGGAAAACATGAAAGCAAACCCATTGAGGATACTAATGCTTCAGGACAACAGAATAGCTAGGAACACTCATACACACTGACTAAAATAATGCAAAATGTTCACCCACACACTGACAATGGAAAAAATGAAAACACGGGAACAATAAATACCTTATCTCTGGGAAAATTCATCAAAACCAAAACAGAATACGACATGCTCTGAGAAGGCAACATTGACTGTTCAGAGATCACAGCAGTTCAGAGGAGGTAGTTACTGACAGGCGAGAGGCAGAATAGCTTCCTGACTTCAAAGATTTTACTTCCCTGATTCCTATTTTGCACATTATGTGTTGTATTCTATTAATTGGCTTTTGGATGAGATTTTATCTTTAATTTCTAATAAAAAGTGCATAAGCACAAATCAGTGGGAACAGTCACCATCCTTCTTAAGACACCACGTTTGTACAGGTGGCTGGAATTAGTCTTTTCCTTGTATGGCGGAATGTCCCAATCTCATCATGTACTTAAGATTAGCAGCACGTTAGAAAAGGGCTGGTATCAGGAATCCCAGACACCTCCTTACTCTGAATCACACAAAGTTTGCAAAACTCTAGGTTTTCTGCAAGCACATGACATTATTATATTTATAACCAATTCTCAGGACTTAGTTTGTAAAAGCCTCTGTGCATACAAACTGAAAATATAAAACAGCCAACAGTGACTACAGAATTAGGGAACTGACAGTTCCTGTGACTAGCCAGAAAGGGTCCCCGAACTGTATATTCAAATGTAGTTCCAGGCACTAAGCTATGGAACAAAACCCTTAAAGGTTATTAATTTTCCTGACTCTTTTAAAAAGAAAAACTGTAACACACATCTGTGACCTAGCAACAATATGGTTTGAAATACTTTCCAGATCACTGAACTGTGCAATACCTTTAAAAATGGGATGACAAAAGGTCGCAGTGGGAAGTTAGTAGCTTCTTGCAGTTTGGAATGAAATTCTTCAATTGTCAAAGTAGAATTCTGTTGAGGAAAAAAAAAATTCTGTCTTGGTGACAAAATAATGAAAACACTTAGCAAGAGAAACAGTAACCAAAAGCACTATGAAATTGCTTAATAACTCGTTCTTGATATTGGTAAAAGGATGAAGAAAAGCATGCCACATATTAAATTATTACCTTATTAAAATACTCAAAGGAAACCACCAGCACCTCAGACATTCAGTGCCTGTTGCTTAGAGTACAGTTTAAGCTCTCAGGTGCTAAGCACAGAAATGCTTTCACATTCCAAGCATCAGTTAAAGCTGCTTTTCTCAACATGTTTTTTATTTTCTACCGAAGCCTCTTGCAATTTTGTTCTCAGTGTAGAAGTGGTAATTAACATGTGCGCACACACACACACAAAAAAAATCACACTGTTTAAAGGCACATTCCTCATTGTTTGAGGAGGAAATCTGCATTTTGCCTCTTGCAAATATAGGTTTGTTTCTATGTTCTAGACTATGTAGGAAAGTCATTACTTTGCAGCTGAGGACATAATCATGAAGACCACATGCTGCACAGGGCTGACCATGGGAATAAGTGGTATGTGGACATTCTCCAGGAAAAGATCCTAATTTGATCCTCAGAGATCAGATGAAGGTAGAAATCAAGCATAATTAATAGTGTGCAAGCACTTTTGATCTAAAAATCAAGGGCAGGTTGGAGTTACCAGAGCTGCCTCTAGTTTCTTTACTAGTTCCCCTTTCCACAGAGAACCATGTGACAAGCAAAATCACATTAAACAGGCATTTTGGATATGGAAGCATATGGAGAGTAGGACTTACAGAAGTTACACTGCCTACATTAAACTTCCTTTTGACACAGACTCAAGAGAAGGGGCACCCATTGCTGTCAGGAAGGGTTTTGTGAAGATCCAAGCAGAGGACACCCGAGCCCTAGTACTGAACAGTGCTGGCAATCTTTGCTCCAAATGAAGTCAATGGCAACTGCAGCTGCTTAGAACAGATGTAAATTAGAACCCCACAACAGCATCTTTCCTGGTACATCTAATTATTGCTGAAGGAGATACATGGGAGACAAAAATGTGTGGTGGAGAGAGGACTTCACTGGGAGTGAAAAGAACCCTGGGCCAGCTTCACAACAGTTTGCCTGTAAAACGGCAGCCCAATTTGACATATGTAGGCAAGAAAAACCTGAAATTTTCATTCAGCCATGTAATCACATAAAGATAACCTTATAAATTACATGACTTAAGTAGCAGCAATGCACCCTCACTGTTGGGTTCAATGAATAATGAGGAAAGGTTTTCCTCAGCTCATCCTTTTAACCAGTGTTCTGTGACTATGTATGTAGGCCACTCTCCTTTCCCCAGCCAACTAAACTAGGCAAGCCAAACCATATTTTACTACATTATGTAACTCAAGATATGTCTACATTAGGGGTGCTGCCAGTATAGAACGAAAACCCTTTCACAGCATTACAACGTAATACGATACTAGCAAAAAATTAAAGTCTGTATCTGGTTGAGAATAGCTGCCACTCATAGGCATCTAGTCAAATTACTTATGTTAGCTCCAGCAGCAAGAGCCAGCACTTCATGCTTGCATGTTCGGAATCACAGAATCACAGAATGGTTGGGGTTGGAAGGGACCTTAAAGACCATCTAGTTCCACCCCCCCTGCCATGGGGAGGGACACCTTCCACTAGACCAGGTTGCTCAAAACCTCATCCAGCCTGGCCTTGAACCCTTCCAGGGATGGGGCATCCACAGCTTCTCTGGGCAACTTCTTCCAGTGCTTCACCACCCTCTCTGTGAAGAATTTATTCCTTATTCCTAACCTAAATCTCCTCGCTTTCAGTTTAACTTGTTACCCCTTGTCCTGTCACTACAGGCCCTTGTAAAAAGTCCCCACCCAGGTTTCTTGTAGACCCTTCAGGTATTGGAAAGCTGCTATAAGGTCTCCTTAAAGTACGATACAGTGTATGTGACCCACTCTTTTTATATCATAAACATGTCAAGCACAAAAGAAGAAAAAGGAGAGAAAAAATATCACAATTATTATATCATTGGTTTTTTGCTTACCACAAGTCCTAGCACAAGGGTACGCACTCTCTCCCCAATCTCTGGTGAAATGTCATTGCCAAACTGCTGTAAGGTTGTAAGAAATCTCTTCAGTTTGCTGAGTTGCCTAGCTCCACAAGCTGGCGGTAACTGCTGGTTAGCCAGAGAAGAGGAAGAGGAAGAGGATGGCCCATTGCTAAAGCCATTAGGAGGAGATGGAGCTCCATTTAACGCTGTTGGTGAATGGCTAGTGCCATTGGTTACTGAAAGAAAAAGAGAGAAGGGAGTATAAAAGAGGGGGGAAGAGAAAGAAAGAGGGGAAAATCCATCAGCTTGTTTTCTGTGCTTGACCTCAAAATTAATTAAGATGCACAATCAATGATAATTAGCCTTTTGACAGAGCGTCACTCTGCAGTTTATATTTATTTCCCAGTAGCTGGTACTGAACGGTGTACGGGTCGGAAGTAACAGCAGCTGCTTCTCGCACAGCCCCCCCAAAGTGCGCCTAGACCTGAAAAGCGTCATTTGCATACCAGCCTGTTGTCAGAGGGTTTTAAAAAGAGTGAGGGTGACAGAGAGAGAAAGAGTATGAGTGCATGTATGACTGAAGATCAAAAAGAAATTGCTCTTTGGGGTAGAAAAAATGCGCAGCCATATTTCACGAACCCTCAGTTTATCTCTGAATATTTTTACTTGTGTTTTGTACACACAACTGACAGCTGTGTTTATAAAACAGGACTTTCACGTTTTAACCTTACACCACCCAATGAGAAGGTTATTTTTTCCGATACAGATTTCCTAGCTGCAAACATATGGAGCACACAAAGTTGTTTGCGCAGGTACAAACGGTGCCATGCCCACTGCGGCCTGAAGCCTTGTCGCTAAGGCAGGAAACTAGACTTCAGAACACTTCTCAGAGACCACGAGAAAATCGCTCAGCTTTCATGTGCCAACAGCATATCTCTCAAAAAGAGAGGAAGTATTTCCCTCCTGTTGCAAGGTTGTTGTGAGAATAACCATCTAAAAGTACTGAGTGTTCAAAATTTATGGCAACGAGATCCATGCAGACATACTGAAGACAACAACAGACAGTTTTTGACAGCGATTTCAGTTGGATTCTTATCCACACTCCAGAAGAGAGCAGAGAATCAAACTGAGGACATCCTTTTCCACCCAGGTTACTTGGAACAGCAACAGTCAAACGCGCTCTGTTGAGATTGTTTTGAGTCTGACTCGCCAAAATGACAGCAAATGGCAAGAGAAAGGATGTCTCCCTAGAAATACAAATGTACCAATGCAGCGGCATGTGTGGGCACACAGCACACCACTCTACTCAGCACCAGCTGAGCTCGGCTGCCCACTGCCCTGGAGAAATTCACTGATTTCTATTTGGGAAGCCACTCAAAAACACACCCCAAAAAACATCAAAATTCAGGAACTTGTCTACAATCAAAAATGCATAGAAGTATTAGTCTAAATTGCTTCCTAACCATGACGAGCTAGCAATCCGAAGATCTTTCAATGTTTCTTAATGACTGAACTCTCTGAAGCCAAACATCCCTTTCTCCCTGTCACTTTCTTCAGCAGTCATCTTTAATTTTAGACAGCAAGCCCTTTTTGAGGCTGGACACCTCTAACTAATCACTACCCTATTACCAGATTTATACCACTACACCACCACAATGCTTTTCAAGGAGATTTGCCCTAGTGACTTAAGCGCCTTTCAGGAGGAATCACAGAAAATGCTGTCTGAATGGTTATCTAGTTTCTGCTTGTGTTTATCCTAGTTTTTGGTGGCCTATTCTAGGTGCATGCGCTAGTGAGAACAAGAAGTGGAAAAAGCAGGAATAGACACTGGCCTCAGCAAGCTCAGCTCCACGTGCAGTTCCAAGCCATACACTATGAGTGCTGCAGCACAGCGAGATATCCGTGTAAACAAATACATCGTGACTGTAAGGAACTTGCACAGCCAGAAGTCATCGTACCACGAACTTAGTAAATGAGGATTAGGAAGACTAAGAACATGTCCTGCTCTAGCCTGACTCCACCCAACAACTCAGACACTGGTAAGGGGCTGTAGGCAGAGGGCCCCGGGAGTATTATCAAGAAAGCACAGAAGAGCACAGTTCGTTACTCAGGCCAGAAAGGAGGAGAAAGTCAGGTCAAATTTCTCCCAAAACAAAAGAAATAAAGAAATGCTTCCCAAATGCAGCTTCGCTAGAACATGATTTTTTACGACCCATACCAATGATCATATCTCTTTCTTTATAATGCCTGAATTTGCCAACAAAGGTCTACGTAATTTATAAAACAGACCCATGTTATTAATAAATCAAGAATTTAGCATTTTAAATTTCAAATTAATATATATTAAGAGTCTTTAATAGTCTAAAACAAAGAAAGAAGCATACTCTTGACCAGAAAACGTGTATGCTCTTCCTGGCCTACAGGCATTCCCCCTGTGGTAATAATAGAACGGACACTCAAAGAAAAGTGACTGTTTTCTGTACAAGCTGGAAATGCTGAGGTCGAACTCCCAAATCAGACAGGGTAAAAGGCATTTAAAATTAGACATTTTTAGACTTTTATTCTTCATATAACAGTCCAAAAATTCCAGCTATGATTCACACACCTTCCAAAGTATTAAATCCAATCAAATAAGCAAACATCCAGAAATCTTATGAGTAGACTGAGGATTACAAGAATGCCTGAAGAATACAGTTCTATTCCTTTTATTACTGCCAAAGATCATTCTGAACCATGCAAAGTGCCTCATACTAGACAGTTTAATCTGCAAGAGTCCCATCCTGCAGAAACCTAGAAACAACTTAACTTTAGACTGGACCCGTTCCTAGGATGATGCAGGTGCTGGAGTGAAGCAAAACAGACAAATCTCTGTGGAATCAGGGTCACTGAGTTAAATCTGGGTTTATTCTAAGAGCTGGCACAAACTCTCCTCACTCTTTTAAGTTCTATGTAAATTGTCAGGATAGGGTTCCCTGGGACAAGGTACAAAGGCCTCCAGCTAGCCTTCTGCATAGAGGTGAATTTGAAATAAGGCATTTAACAGACAGAAAGGGACTAAACAGACATAGGCAAGACAAATAGAAGATGCTGCCTTCATTATGTTTAGGCATATGTATTCTACTGTTCTAAAAATGTTTTATTTAAAATGTGAAATGTAAACACATTCTCATGTTTATACTATTACAAGGCAGTATAAAAGAGACCAAAAAATTTGCAGCTCAATCTTGGTAAGAGAAATGTGGATCATTTCACGGCTGTGAAAAGAATAGTCCAGACAACATGCCAGCTTCAAATCTCAGTTACACTGATACGAATGCAGAATAATTCCATCAAGACAAGTACAGTTTCTTGTAAACTGAGACAGAGATGCAGCCCCGAGTGATTTAGAGAAGTGGTCACAGACTAGAAAACTCAAGGCAATACAAAACAAAGGGCCTTTATTTTTGGTTTTAAATCAATATTAACTAGACATTATGTAGCACTTGAACTATTGCACTTCAGTCAATCATAAGTGGGATGAAGATAAGTATTTTCTCTATGAACTACCCCCACTTTAGAAATATAAACAAAAAAAACCCTGAGGAGTTACAAGCAAAGTTACTATACAAAAGGGAACTGGATCCTTTAAACAAAACAATAGAATGGCATAGAAGAGGAGAAGAAAGTTTTCTATACTCCCCACAGGACTGATCCAATCCTCACTGTTGTCTGACACTGCGGCCAAGATGTCAATGAAATAACAAACACAATTCTGAGCTGAATGACTTCATACCTTAAAGATGCATTCATCTGTTTTGACCATAGTTTTGCTTAATTACTTTATCGCGGTACAACCAAATGCTGCTCCCACCACGTCATGCAGGTTTCCCTTCACGTATTTTGGTTTCTTACATACAGAATAGAAAGAATATGGAAGAAAAGGAAGAAAATAAGTCTAATTACACGTTGTGGGCGTGAATGAACTGGTTCTTGGAGCTCCTTGGGTAGTGGGAGGAGGTGGCATGGTTGGAGGCGTCAGCCTGGATTGCGTCTTCACATCCACAGGTGAGTCTGGCATTGTGGAATGCTTCTCAGTGCGATCTGCAACACATACCACAGGAACACACCGGTTTATTTCCCCAAGCACACCCCCTTCTGACAGAAACTTAAAAGCTAATACAAGAAGTGAGCCATTTCAGCATCTGCTGCAAAAGATTACACCTGATTATCTACTCCAGTGTGCTCTGCCCAAATTACATCATCTAAACCTTAGTTAAGAAGGTGTAACACAGATGGTAAGACCTCATTTGTAGCGGTGCTGCATTATCTTTTGTTTTCATTTCTAGTGTGTGCAGATGCTACATCTCAAGCACTCCTGGAGCTGCATAATGCCACCTCCCTTCAAGGCTCTTAGGTTAGCCAGGAGGAAAAAAATAGATGAAGACGCAGGAAGGTAATAAATCCCCTTATGACAGCTCTTCCAGAACTAAAGCCTGAAGCTCTTTAATACAGGTGAGATATTGGGTAGCATACTGGTTGAAGCCAGCTCTCTTCATGTCTCTGTAATACCTGTTGCCCGCTCCATCACTTCTCTTTGTAATCATAAAGAGATACCTATGTTAAATACCACAAACGTACCTCCTGGATCACTGTACCACCCTGCCCCTGGATATTCTTACTTTCACCAGAAAAATAAACACAACATGCCAAAATGGTAAATCAGTGGTCACACACACATACCATTGTTTTTAAATAATCATCTAAGTTTGCACCTTCCACACATTAAGAACAACTTTAATGTTCAAGAAGACAAGTAGAAACATACCTTCCCCCAAGAAAACAAAATTAACAAAAGGCAAAACCAGGCAGAAAACCTAACAGTTCTCTTGCAACTAAAGATGTAAAGATGCAAGATATTTGATATAGAAGCTATGGAAGTATCTTCTTTTGCCAACATCTTTTTGGACACCTCTATGTTAAAACTGAAGCAAAAATTTTTAACAACTCACCCAAACCCTTATGTTTCATTTATCGAGAATGGGCAAAACATGACAACGTTTACCAACTGAAAGCAAAATTAAGGCTTCCTTACTCATGCCAGGAGTGTAGTGAGCCATCTTGATGAGTAAGATCAAGTTTAGCTTTTAATGGGCATAAGTTAAATTCTTCCATCCCTTCTTTGGGGGGGTCAGAGTTATTTATTTTACACATTGTCTTACACAAGTCTTCTGAGCTCCATTAAACTACTCTGCAAAGCAAGTAAGTGTCGCTGCTAATGGGTAAGCATGTAAATCTGTGGGTTTAACTCCAGACAACAGCAAAGTCTGTCCTGTTTCACAAGTTCTACCACTCCACTTTGGGATGTGCTTTCCTTGTTCTTACTAACAACATACAAACTTCCATCAAATATCATATCTAAAATTTGCCCTGAGAGACACTAAGAGAAATGAAATGCAGGACAGACATTTAACAAAGGATGGGTATGTTTAAAAAAAGCCTCAAAACACTTCATTATCAGAACACTTAATTATGAGAAAGTTAAAAAACATGTATTAACAACACATAATAGACACCAATCTTTAGCTGCCTAACACTGAGGAATTATGTCCCGGAGATGCAGTGTCTCGGGTACTGCAGTTATAGAAGCCATCTTCACCCTTTGTAGAGGTGCCTACATAAGATGCTTCAGTTCTCAGGGCAAGGAAGGCATTTAGAGACAAGTTTGGGGAAGATGAGCAGTGAACCACTCCCAGAACAGAATGAGGGGAATACAGATATAGCATTATAGGATCTGTAGTGTTGATCTAAGGTTAGTAAACCTCAGCTGTGTAGGGAGCAGTAGCTGAAATTATTAGCTTAAATATTAAAGCTGCTACACAGCCAGGTGAAGTTTGATTTGCAAACCAAGCAACAGTAAATTATAACATGCTAGAAAACAAAAGCAATTTTTTAAACATATTCTATACAGATTTCCTTTCCATACAGTTACATTAAAACAGTTAAATCTATATCTTCAACAAGCCATTCATTTAATATAAAGAACCATGAAAACTCGTCTTGAAATGTTAATTGCTTCCTTAATAGCCGAATTCATCTTGCACTCACCTCAACCAACCTCAGCAACAAGGGAATAAATAGCTTTCAGCTCATGTTGCAACAGAGGGCAAGAGGCACAGCAGTGAGCCCAAGCCCTCCTAAATAAAGGCAAATATTTCTGCCATGCCAAGAAAGGAGAGAGAAAGGGAGGCTTGCCAGAGCTGGTGGGGAGATAACAGTGGGAACTGCTGGTCCATCTGGTTTTCATTCTGCTAACACTCACATTGAACTGTTAAGGAAGGCAGTCCAGGTACACAGATTTGAAGCATGTGGGAGCGCAGACACAGGCACAGAGGAGATGGAGGTGGGTGGAAGAAGGAGTGAGAGAAATCGAACTCCTCTAACAGTCTGCTGTTCGCGGCGAGCAGGCACAGCCTGTATCCTCCAATTCAGCTGTTGATAACTAAACGCGATCCCAAGCCTGTAACCAACCGCACGGCTCCTGCTCCCCTCCTCTGCTGTGTTTCAAAGTTCAGGTTTGCTCAGATTGGAGGGGGGAGGCTTTCCCAAAAAGCTGGCAATGTTTTGTTACTTAAATTGAATGCGGTCGTGGGAAACAGCGTGTTGGCTTTGCCCTCCAATTTCAGATTGCCATTCTACCAGTTGGATAGCGGTTTTTACTCCCTCCAACAGTGCTTACAACCCAATCTGCAGATAGCTGAAATTATCCCCAGACCCCTCGACTTCGCATATAAACCTACTGACATTAGGCTTGATTTTCCTAATTACCTTTCTTTGGACCTCTCAGGGGTTAAAAAAACCCCAAAACTCCACAGGCCACTTACCTTTGCTTAACCGCTCTCCCGCCCTTGCAAAGCCCTAAACTCCACTCTGCTACCGTGTGACTGCAGGCAGACAGATTTATCTCTGGATGTCCGTAAGTTACCCAGCCCTGCCTTCTGTTAGGAGACAGAAGGCTCCTTTCAAGCACACCTCAAAACACTTCTAACCAGGGTACAAGATTATCTTCTCAGAGCAGAGACTCTCCTTGGGGAGCAGGGGGGGAAAGGGCTTTTTGAAGAAGTACAACGCAAAATGCAAAGCTCTTCCACATGCTTGGAAGACAGTACCACACCACCCAGGAGAACAGCCCGTTCCATTGCTGCCTTTACATCCCACTTTTCCACTCTCTTTAATAGCAAAACTCCTGGGAGAGCCATTCTACTCTTGCTGCTACTATTTACCTGTTCCTTGCCTGCAGTGCTGGTTCCCTAACCTCCAAAGGAGTGATGGAGCTGGGAGCATCTGTCTACAGTTGCTCTGCATTCACCCACTACTCTCCCACCACCCACGACCCCAGAGAACCTCAGCGGCTCTGTTTTTAAGAGGAAGATCTCTCAGAGGATGGAGTGGTGATGGAGCATGAAGCAATTATAAATAAAGTGATAAAAGCATTACCAGTTCTTGTGATCTGAACTCCTGAAGCTTGCAGCGTCTGATACTCAGCCTAGAACTCCAGCTTCTACAAATCTTTTGTAATTTAAAAAAATGCCAAATCCAACAACCAACACTTTTTACTCTAATTGCTGAAAAATAGCCTGATAGGAAAGCTAAAGGCAAAACTGTATTTAAATCCTATTCATGAGCTAAGTTTCCCCTACCCCATGTTATTCTGTGAGGAGTTTTATGTATAGACATTTATCATACAAGCTCCCTGTGGATATTCTGCTATCCGTACATTCAGAGGTGATGAGGGTTTGGGAGGGGAGAAAAGAATCCCTCAAGAGGAAAAACTGTATTTTTTACATGCGAAAACCTGCCTGTGTAAGATGTTGTGTACATTTGCTCTGGTTTTATAATACAGGAACATATACATTGAACTTTGCCTGCAATCTGGAAGAACTTCAAGGAAAACCATGTCTTAAAATGGCTTAATTTTTTGAATTCAAAAACATTTTTATGCTTTCGTGTCAGACCAAACTCCCCATTTGCAAAGTTAGTTCTGATTACTTTTTTTCCCATTGGACTCTGACATTTCAAGTAGTAAATCTGAATTAGCAGGGACACACCAAAACGTTTTATACAGTCAGTGTCCCACAGCATCACACATTTCAGAGCACAGGCTGTGTACCTAGAGAGTACAATTCTTTCAGGTGTGAAGATTTCTTCCAACAAATCCCTCCTAAACAGTGACAGACTTGCACTCCCTTTTAGCCCAGCCCAGATCAAATGGGGCTGAAACCAGAGGTCCTCCAAACCAGAGGGAAAAGGAGACATCTGCAATTCATTCTGCAGTGTTCGCTGCAATCAGTTCAGGATGGAGATAGATGGTCAAATAACGGTCTAGTCCTAATCCATACACACAGCCCTCTGGTGCAGTGAAAGACTTAGAATAAATTCAGAAAATATGTTTCAAGTATGCAGAGATCTTTTGCATTTGCTTTGGATTATACTTTTCTCTAAAGAAAAAACCCAAACATTTTGAAATACACATTCTTGAATCTCTTTTACAGCATAGAACGAAGAACTGTGATACTGCCACAGAAGTATTTTGCTCAGTTTTAAATTAAAGAATGTTGTAAAACCAGCTTTCAATTACGATATTTCTTCTGTGGATTTCTTGGTCCATGAAACTATACTGTTCTTGTCATTCATTCAGTTTTTATGGTAGGAGTTATTTTTATCACTGTATTTAGCTGTTAGGTGAACACTGATATTTACCACAAGCACAGCCAGCTTCTGAAGACAAATAGGGAAGAGAGAAAGTAAAATGTGCAAGAGCAGAGGCAAAGAGAGATGTGCATGTATTCAAACCGATTTACTTCACTTCCTGTATGCTAAATGATTTAGTCCATTTTTAAAACAAGGCGGTCTTTCATACATGGCAACATTTCAGCTCACATGGCACCCTTCCAAGTCTAACGCATCGAAGAAAGCTGATGTATGGAACAAAATATGGAATATATAAATACTTTACTGATACCATTTCAGTGGCCAACTCAATGTCAAGCATTTCTAGGAGTGGTGTGTTTTCAATTTCCTTTTTTAAATGAAAAAAAGTATGG